TCATTTCTGTATATATATATTATTTTTGACGATGCAATTTTTTGTTGTAAAAAGTCATTTTTAGGCTATTTCATTGAAAAAAGATCATCGAGAAACTTTTTAAAACGAAAGTTTTTAATATTAAAAGAAAATTTTCTTGTAGCCATTTGAGTCATGTTAATGTGAGTAATATCATATGTAGCATTTCTCATCTAATTGCACGTTTGGCAAATTTTAGAAAAAAAGTTTACTTATAAGTTTTAAAATAAATAACATTTATTGATCAAAATTAGAAAAAAAAACTAATAAGTAACTAATTTGTATAGTAGGTAGGAGTTATTTTCAAATAAGTAAATTTCATGTACTAATATACTAAGAAAAAATAATCATTCAAATATTTTTAAAATAAGAAAGGCACTTAACAATGATTTTTATTGCTTTTAAGCATTGCGTGCATGCTAGTCCACACAATAATAATAACGATGACGACGACGATGATGTAAGTGCTACAATTGGGAAGGGTGAACACAAAGTTCTCAATCGTAATGCCAAGCAAGAAAATATTGTTTTTTAATTATTAGTGTCGATGGAGAATAAATGAAGTGAGCAGAGTTCAAGAAATAGAGTTATGTTGAACAGTCCAAGAAATAGAGTTAGGTTGAACAGATAAGCATGGAAATTATTTTTCGCTTTGAAAATAGTCAACTCTTAACGATAACACCGTTGTAATTCAAATTGTCACTAATTCTATATTCCATGAATTTAGCACATTGAGGTCGATTGACAATTCTCGAAGGAAAAACACTACTCGACCAAGTTGGGGAGGATAGCACACTAAAAGCCGTTTGAATATTCAATACCCTAACGTGTAATATTCTTATAGACTATATAATTTTCAATCTTGAATAGAAGCCAAATTGAGGCCTAACCTCTGGAAAAAGAGACGAAGTTAATGACAGCTGCATGGTGCAAACCTGCTGTGAATTGTTATTTTCTTAATTTTTTTGTAGCCTGTTTGGCTAATCAAGCGTCTTAGTCCACGGACTCTCCAGTTCTAAATGCATGTTTGCAAATGTTACTCAACTTTTCTATCTTCAATATTAACCATTTAACTTTGAAAATTCACCATTTAGTCACTATGTTAAACCGATGGTTGATAGGGGCTCGGGCTAATTAATTGGATTTTGTTCTGAATCCGATGAAAGTAATTAGAGATGAATTTTGAGTTTCAGTCTGATAATCCGACTAAGATTTGAATCCGATAATTCGTTAACTAAATGGAGCAAATATGGATATAGATCAATCCGATCCGATGATAACCTGATCCGAATTGTTATAATAATATAATTTATTACAGATATTTTTTTTTTTCATTTTTGAATTTGTATTATACTTTATGACTTTTAATGAAAAATGTCAAACCCATCAAATTTCAATATAATATTAATATATATTATAATAAATTTTGTACTGAGATTGAAAATCCCCTCTTTCTAAAATATTTCAGATTGTATATTCGATAACATAGCAAATCGAATATGAATTTAACAATTAAATATCCATTGAATTATTGGATCGGATCGGATCGAAATCATGAATTATTCTTATCGGATCAACTCGAATATTCATTTACAACCCTAAAAGCCACCATTCATGCTCCCTTCCATTACCCATTCTACCCCTGGCTTGGCCTGCATAATGACCATTATACTCCATATAATGTTTCTGTTGTACTATATATATATAATGATTTACATAATAGTTTACATACACATAATGTGGAGAAAAATGATTCAATCGGAATTTTTCAACCAAATAAAAGATAAAACATTCTCCACTTTGTGAATGTGTAAGTAAATTGAATTTTCTTTCAAAAATCGAGCATTAGACAAATGCGAAATAACTAAACCGAAAAATAATGCCCTTTAATGAAAATAATAAATCTAGTCTTATATTAGGTTAATTGTTTAAAAAAATAACCGAATTTTGGGTCGTGTCATGGGAATGTTACCGAACTTTAGAATGTTGCGAAAACATCATTAAACTTTGTCAAATGCTTTTTATCCATCATTTGTTAAGATTATGCTAGTTGGATTGATGCTAGTTGGATTGGATGAATCTCCTTACGAGCAGACGGAATTCACACACGACATAAATTGTTGTTCGATTCTCTCAACTAGTGATGAATTGGGAGCAAATTGAAAAAAATTATTGATATTTTAACAACATTTTTAGAATTAGGTTTAATTGTTTTTTGAACCATGAATCCATTTCCTCGATGAATTTTTCAAAAAATTAGTCAAGTTTTAAATTTTTATATTTGGGATACTTTATTTTTATTTTAAATGTCTTTAACGATTGGTCTTTTAATTTTAAACGTGCGTGTAACATAATTTAACAGAAAATCATTTTCTTTATCGAATTTTCAACTACACATTATCCCAATAAAACAATTTTGCACATGAATTCATACTGTTAATCATACATTTTTCAAATTTTTTCACTTCAACTAATATCTTCCAAACAAGCACTAACGGTCCATTTGATTGCAAAAATGAAAAATGAGTGGAAAGAAAATGAACTATAGGAAATTAAATTGTATAGAAATTGTTTTACTGAAAATTATAATTAATTGCGTTTGATTGACATAATTTTCCACCTGAAAAATGTTGAAAGTTTGGTGACTGTTTGACTTCGTTTTTCTTGAAAATTGTCCATTAAAGTGATAATTTTTTTTTACCATTGAATCTAGAATTTGTTTCAATTGCCAAATAAAAAAAAAATTTATTTTTAAAAATTTATTTTTTTTAAAAAAAAATTACCATGTCGAATATCATTCCTTTGGCTAAAAGTATGGAAATTGTCAATAAAAGCGATAATTTTTTTTACCATTGTGCCTAGAATTTTTTTCAATTGAAAATAAATAAAAAATAAAAAAATCTGGAAAATCAATTCCCACAAAAAACAAAAGAAAAGCAATTCCTCCAAATCCAGGAAAGCTGACGTGTGAGGGGCAGAGGAGGAAAACATTTTCCAAGCAAAAATTGTCTTATCAAACACTACAAAACTTGAAATGAAAAACATTTTCCAAATTCCATGGAAAATATTACCTATCAAACAGGGCCGAAATTAGTTAGATCAACATTGGTTTAGGTGTAAAGTCGTGAGTTTAGTCAAGATTGTGATTTCTACCCAAGATTGATGTTATAACATATAAATAAATTTTACACGTGAACCCATAATTTTTCCTACCATTTAATCACACCTTCCCCAAAAAACTATTTTCACAAAATTAATTCTCAATAATAAAAATTAGAAAATGAGTTATTTTGATTCTCATAGGCAAATCCTTTTCCTTATGATCTCGACGTCAATTGAATTTGAACGCTCCACCAAATTAGATGGCCAGAGAGGCCAATTAGAAACGAAGACTTATTTGTTAGTGAAACTCGTAAAATCTTCTTAAAAAATTATAATCCCTTAACGTGTGTAACAAGTAAGTTAGGTGAGTTTACGAGCATTTTCAACGTTAAACGACTTTCAAAGGATATTAAATGTTTAATTCTTTACAAAGTTAAACACTAAAAAAGAGAATTCAAAATAAAAATTAAAAAAAAAATCTTGAACCATTTTTTAGAGGGTGTTTAGTGAGCGCTAAATTTAGATTTTTAGTAGATTGTAATAGAAGTTTTTGAAATGTGTGGTTAAAAAATTGTGAGACCTACGAAAAATGTGGTTAATATTGATTGTTTGACTTTGATTTGGATCAAAATCAGATTCTAATTCGGATCAAACATGGGCTTAATACTAGTAAAGTAATAGTAAAAACCCACTTAATGAATTATGTAATGGATTATTTGGTGGACTAGTTGTTGGAAGAAGTCAAGTCAATGGGCTCATATTTGTTCTTTAGCCCAAAAGTGGGAAACGGAAGAAGCCGCGTACTGACATTAACGAAATGAAATGGACCCACTTTGACGTGTAAATTATGTCGATTTGTGCTTTTGTGCAGTTTTTTTTGGCATGAAAAGTCTTCCCCTCAAAGTGAAAAAAAAAAAAAGGTTGAACCCATGTCCTAGAGCATTATGGATGAGGTAAATCGCGAGATGTACCTCAACAGGTCAGAGTACAAGAGCTGTCATACTGATATCCACAAAGAGTCTAATTTCATACCTTATAAGAAATAGGAATCGAACTCTCATAACGACTGTCAGCTCAGTAGAAACAATTTATTTTAAAATCTGTTTTTTAAAATCAATAATATAGATCTTGACAACATATGAATTGTCAAGTGTCAACAAAGTTATTAACAAATATTGTACAAATAACTTTATTCAAATAACTTATCTTAGGTCGACCGCTATAATGAACACCCTGTGCTGTAAAAGGACAAAATAGGTGGACGGATTGGGCATCACAACTTGTTGTCAACAATACTAACTTTAAAAGTTGATGGAAGAAAAAAATGAAACTCTTCTCTTTGGATAAATTCGTCAATTATTAAGAAGATTTAGGGTTAGTGCGATAGAGTTTTTGAAACGTCAAAAGTTGTTTATGAGATTAAGAAGCTATTTTTAAATATGTGTGGATAATTTCTGAAAATAATTTGTCTTGCTAAAAGAGTTTTTTTCTAAAAAAATATATCCGTTTCAACGAAATTAAATTCAAATTTCAAAAAGGCACCTATAATTTTAGCCGGCTGCGTTAATGTTTTTATTTGTATTTTTAATTTTTTTTTTCAATTTTTTTTTTTTCTTTTTCTTAAGGTTTATAGATTACTATTTTGGCCGACAAGGGTTGACTCAGGCTCGAGCCGACGCCCCAAATTGGACTCGGCCAGAGCCTCGACATGGTTTTACCAAGTCACAAGCCGGCCCAACAAGAACTTTTCTCGGGCCGAGCCACGGGCCGCCAGAGCAGTGAGCCACATTGACACTCCTAATTCTAATTGTAAGTTAAATAGAAATTCACATTGAATACATTTCATTATTTACGTTTATGCATGCTAATACATTCAGTTTTACTTAATTGAAAATTAAATGAATGATTTAACATTCTTTGTGACATATATAAATATTTCCTGATATTAATTCTAAATTAATTGATATTCACACATATTCAAATATTATTTTTACAACACTCATAAAGCATTTAATAATAACGTGTAACACACGTTTAACATTGACTTGTATCATCAAATATAATGCTCCGAGGCAAATACTTCGCATAATCATCTTGTGCACGGCAAAGAATAAATGTTTAAGGGGCACACAAACATATATAAATATTACAATAAATGAATTTCTTAGGAATTGATTATGACATATTAATTAAGGTTAAGGATATGCTAACTTATGTTATTAAGAGCATTTTTAATAAATATTTTTTTTTTATATCCAGGTATCCTAGCTTACACCAGACTATGTCTTGGAC